CATCCAGCTCTACACTTTGTTATCTCAGACTCCAGCATCGGCAGTTTCTACTGTCTCTGAGTTTAGCAGTTAGCTTTATTCTCGGGAGATTGGAAAGCCCAGTTGGTTGGGCAACTGGTTTGTGATGCTAGTGGGCATTGGTTCAATTCCCTCACTGACTGAGGTTACCATGAATGCCTCTCCCCTCGCCTGAGGTGTGGGGACCTTTATGATAAACCAGCCCCCACCCCCGGGCTGTTTCTGTTTAATGAGAGAATTGGTCTATGGTGACTTTACCTTTTTCAGTTCGCATTAATTGGTCATCAAGACTGAAAACTGTTGGCCAATGACTTCTGGTTGATTAGGTCCCATATATTTTTTTCTCTAGTGTCCAGTTGCTCCCCTGTTTAGAATATGCGTAGTTCTTTCACAACTTTCAATCCCTTAAATGTTATTGTAAAATCAGGGTTGGTGCCTGGTTACTTTAGATCCAATTTTCGGGCAAGTTCCCCTCTGAGCCACTCACCATCCTGACTTGGAAATATATCGCTGTTCCTTCAGTAGTGCTGGATGAAAATCCTGGAATTCCCTCCCTGATGTACCTGCACCAAATGCACTGCAGTGGTTCAAGAAGGTAGCTCACCACCGCCTTCTCAAGGGAAACTAGGGACAGGCAATAAATGGGGCCTAGCCAGCAATGCCCATGTTCCTGAATGTTTTTGTCAGACCGTTGAACACAAGTCCGATCAAATCCTTTGAAGTTCTGTGACACAGCTCCAGGTTTGTTCTCTGCAAACACTGGGACACGCCTCACTGGGACTCCCTGCTGTCCACACCTGCTTGTTAAGTGCTAGCTCACTGCCCAGAGGACCTAGGGCTAGGAGGAGGCCATTCAGCTCCTCCAGAAGCTTCTACCACTCAACAAGATCTATGTCTCAATTCCACCATCTTGCATTCCACATCCCATGGCGTCCCCTCATCCAACAGAGAGTTATCGATCGCATCTCTTGAGATTTCCGATTGACTTTGGAGTGCATAGGATTGCAGAGTTTTTCAAAGGAAGGGTGTTCCATCGAGTGGAAGAGGAGATCGTGGGGGGATTGGGATTGGTGGAATGTTTGGGATATTGGGATTGTTCATGAGTGAATTGGATACAAGCTTTGGTCGATGGAGGAATGGAGAAGCATTAGTGCGAGAAACCATGGTCCAGGTTTCGTGTGTAAGCTGGTGATGGTAGAAACAGAGATCCTCCCCAAGCCAGTGCTCAGGCTGGGTTCAATGTAATCTGAATGGGGCTGGAGGAGTTTATTCCTCACAAATGAATGAATGTGTCACTGATAATTGGAATGCGGCGCTTCACAGCTGAACACAATAATCTGGCTTTCTGTCCGTACTGCATTGCTAGGCTTTAACATCACGCATTGTTCAGAGTCGCTTTTGCGCTGTGCCGCTGGCTTATTCTGCTTTGATCCTGAAGGTTTGTCCTGTCAGTGAATTATCGATCTCGGTCTGAAGGTAAGTTGGCAGGCGCGGAATGTGACGGATGTGTCCAGGCGCTTTTCGAAGTCCGGACGGGACAGCTAATGGGTTGCACTCAGCTAGGCTATGGGAATACTTCCCGTAGTGTCCACCCCCACCCTTTCAGATGTTACGCCGATAACCGAGACTCCCTCAGGGAGAGTTTAACCCCCCAAAAAAACGTTCTCCGCGGGACATCGGAGAAAGTGGAGAGTTCAGCGACTCCAAGATGCACAGGACCATTTCTTCAGCATTTGGTTCAAGAACGAATGTGGGCTGCCACATGAGGAACAGGCCCTGCTGCCTTGGTCAGGAGGGAGGGAAGACTCATCATATAGTGAAGATGCTGCGGGCAACCCAGGATCGTGCTGCAATAGCAATGCAAAAACAAAAGCACACAAATTGTGTTTTAATACCAATTAAAACATGATCGAAACTCCCCGTTGCTACACCATCACGTACGGAGTTCCTTCCATAGAGACAGTGTGGCTAATCCAAGTCCAACTGCCCACTGGGGAGCTGGGCAAAATCGAATTCCCAAACTCCCTTTGCCCCTTCTGAGGCCACCTACTTGCCCCTTTGCCTGAAGCTTTCCAACGACAGTGGGTCCACGATATGCCCCTCCTGGTGCATGGCACTTTGCGTTCGGGACTGGACTGCTGTCGTTATCACCTGGGCCGAGGCCAAAACATTGTGTTTTCGAGAAGGCGGTGGAAAAGCTCTTGTGGCCAAAGTGACGAAGGGATATGGGGATGAGGGGACTGAGCTCAATGACCAGCCATGATCATATTGATTGGCGGAACAGCGGTCAAGTGATCTTCTCCTGCTCCTATCTCCTAATCTCGGGCAATAGGGAAGGGCCGAGGGGGATGATGAGAGGGGGAGCTGATCCCCATTTTATTCCAATTCCACCCTCCCTGCCAAAGCAAATCACTTCCAGAGGAGGGTCAGGATCAGTCTGGGCAAGTTCCTCAGGTGCCTAACATGCTTTCACTTTCTCCACAGGACAAGGAGCAGCCCCCCATGGAGAAAGCAGAGAATAATTACGATTATTTCCTCGGTGCGGAATACTACACTGATTTGGAATCCGCCATCTTCAACGCCTCAATGAATGCTGAGGTTATGGTGGAAAATGCGACGGACCATGAGGTAACTCCTGCTGTGATGGCCATTGTTCCTTTAAGTTTCCCATCCCCATGCGGTTGCTTGTGCTGACTGTACAGAGGCATGAGGTGAGGCTCAATAGCCCTTAAACCTGGCTAATGAATAGACTTCCAGAGAAATTAACATTCAGTAGTTGTGGCTGATGCGGAGCTGTGTGCTTTTTTGGGATTCGGAATAATCCCACCACCAGCCTCGTCTCCACCTACCGCCCCACTCGGCACAAAAGGAAGTTGAAATGCTGTTCCCTTTTTAACCCTGCCCCTCTTCGACCATGCGACTGTGTAAGGACACAGAGGGAGCCCTGTGTCAAACTGACATTGAGGTTCCTCACTGAGACAGAGTGTCTCCTCTTGCCCCCCCCACCCCCCAACTGATCGATGGCCCTCTCCCAATGGAGAATTCCCTGCTGCGATGTTTTAGCCGTGGTGGCCTTGGTAAAGGGAGCTGGCATGGATGTTTCAAGGACTGACCCCTGGCTGGCTGGTAGACTCGAATTCTGGTTCACTGGGAAGTAGCTGGGTTTGCCCATTTCACTGCTGACTGACCATAGCTACTGGCTTAAGAATCACTGACCACTAGATGGCTACCACTATGTCGTGAGGCTTTCAGTCTCCCTCTCTCTTTTGTTACTCTCTCCTCTTTCTCTTCTCTTCCTTTTCCTCTATCTCTCTTCTCTTTCTTTCTCCTCTCTCTTCTCTTTCACCCCTCATCTTGCTCCTCTTTCTGCCTCCTTTCTTCCCTATCTCTTCACTGTCTGTCTGTCTCCTCTCTCTTTCCTCTCATCTCTTTCCTCTCCTATCTCTCTCACTCTGTCTCTCTCTCTCTCCTCTCTACTCTCTTCATTCTTTCTCTCTCTGCCTCCTTTCTCCTCCCCCTGTCTCCTCTATCTTTCTTCTCTCTTCCCTCTCCTCTCCTCTCTCTCTCTCTAGTGATGGACGAATGAGTTTAAAGATCCTTGAATGTTTCCACGGAGATTGCCTTCTCCATGGAGTTTTCAATGCAATGGCTACTATTGTTCCCTCTACCAGCAGAGATAAGGTAGACTGGCCCCTTCTCTCACATACTGGCATCTCCCTGTGAGCAAATTAGTTGGCAGGTTTGCTTGCACATTAAGAAAGCAGTTTGTTTGACTGTCAGGCACTCTGGATCCTCCTGAGGACGTGACAGTTGCTTTATATTAGCAAAAAAGGAGGCCTTTCTGCCCACAGGTACAGTGCCTGCTCTTCGGTAGAGCTCTCCATTTGAACACGGTGTTTGCTTTTTATATTAACATTGGAATCGTGTTTTCAGTCAAACCTTGTGTTCTAGGGGGCTAGTTGGGTGAGGTTTAATTATACTTGCAGGAAGCATTAACTCGTGGTTCAGGGCCAGACTCGGATCTGATTCCCTGTGCAATCCATTCCTGTTGCATGAATCATCTTGCCTTTGTGCAATATTATTCCCTTATCAGGAACGCTCACTTTTCTGGAATTTACAGTGAGCATTGGGCAGAGAGTCCAGTTGCTGTGGGCGATTTTCTTGTGTTTGTAGCTTTTTATGTCGTTGGTAAGCTTTCCAGGAACTGTGCCATTTTGGCCTGGCTGCTTTCAAAGAGGAATTCAGCCTCTGCGCAGCTACAATTTAATCCGGTTATAGAGGTGGTACATTTTCCTCACCTTTAAATAGTTGTCTGTTAACCCATTGTAATGAATGAGCCAGTGGATGCTATAAAGTAGCAGTGTAGTGTAAAGATGCCCAACATGTATTCATGGATAGGCAACAGGAGAATTGACTGAGGTCAGGACTCTGAAACAATTGACTAACAATCTACAAGGATTTGGGGAATGTGCCGAGATCTAGTAAAAGGGACGAGGGCATCACTGCTAGGTCACCATTGATTGCCCATCTGTAATTGCCCTGAGGGCAGTTAAAAGTCAACCACATTGCTATGGGCCTGGAGTCACATGTAGGCCAGACCAGGTAAGGATGGCAGTTTCCATCCCTAAAGGACATTAGATGGGTTCTTCCCACAATCGACAGCGGATTAATGGTCATCATTAGGTTCTTAATTCCAGACTTTTATTGAATTCAAATTCCACCATCTGCCGTGGCTGGATTCAAATGCAGGTCCCCAGAACATTACCTGGATCTCTGGATTAACAGCGCCAGCGATAATACCACTAGGCCATCAACTCCCCACTTAGGGATGGCTGGATTTTTGACAAAGATGTGAGCAAATATGCCGCAGGGCCATTGAACCAATCTTGGGAAGTAATTCAAGGCTGGAAGTGTTGTTGCTTCAATAACTGGTTGAGATGGCGTTATGGTCGTGACATTGGCCCCTTCACCCTAACTTCAGACGACTGCTCTGGGAGTGGGGTCTGGAACACAGTTTCAAATCTCACCATGGCGGCTGATGGAAATAAAAATTTGCTTCATCAAATCTGGTCTCCCCAGAGTCGGTGACTGTGGCATTCTGCTGTCCTTAGTTACATGTGACTCCAAACCCACTCAGCATTCCAGCTGGCTCTTAAGTGCCCTCTGAAATGGCTCGGTGAATTTGAGGACAATTAAGGAGGGTATCACGACATGGGTGACGATGTCATATCCTGTGAAAGAATCAGTTTGCTTCCTTTTTGATTACAGACCATGCAAGAGGAGCTCATTGAAGAATCAGAAGGCCCCTTTACAAACGAGTATGAAAACCGAGAGTATGAGACAAATAACTACGATTACTCAGAAGGAGACTACGATGACCAGTGGAGCCAGCAGTTTGGGACAACTAGACGAGTGGAATCAGAGACACAAGATACATGGGTAAACCCAACTACTCAATATCCTTGTCCATTCATTTATTTCAGATTTATTTATTTCAGATAGTAGTTTCAATCGGTTGTATTTTGATCATTCCTGAACAAAGGAACAACACAGTCAAACTTTTTTGTCCATCACTCATCAGGACAGGTGCAAGAATACCACCTTTAAAGGAAACAGCTATCTATAAATATATTTAAGTTTATATAAATTTGTTTAAACCATTTATATTGCTGCTTGATTGACAAACTGGATCTCATGGATCAAGGTATTGCATTGGAGAATGCACCAGACAAGCTGTGGATTCCCATTCTTATGATTAATTCAACATAGACGTACTGGCTGGATGATGTTATTATTATTATTATAGAATCCCCACAGTGTGGTTGTGTTCCTATTTCCCGCAGAGGACAGATCCCTTCCAACAAGTGTGGATGACCCACGTTTCAAACCCAAGTGATTATCTTAAATTGGTTGTAAGTGTAATTCTTAGCACCTTCTGGATTGCCCAGGTGATGTTCAAGCCCAGTCCATCGCACGTTCTCTGCCACTGTTACACTGTTGGTAGGAAGCATGTCATAACATGCATTTGTAGGAGTAGGATCGGCACACCTGATTGGGTAGATACCTGGAGGTGTCATCATGTGATGTCCAGTTCTGAAGAAGAGTCATCCTGGGCTCAAAGAACAATACAGCACAGGAACAAGCCCTTCAGCCCACCAAGGCTGCTCCAAACGGTCTCTCTGTTCCTCTCTCCATAGATGCTGTGTTTCCTCCAGCATTCTCTGTCATTATGTGAGGACCTAGTCCTGACAGTATTATAGAATCCCTACAGTGTGGAAGCAGGCCATTCAGCCCATCGAGTCCATGCTGACCTTCTGAAGAGCATCTCACCCAGACTCACCCCATCCCTGTAATCCTGCATTTCCCATGGCCAATCCACCTAGCCTGCACACCTTTGGCCTGTGGGAGGAAACTGGAACACCCAGAGGAAACCCACGCAGACACAGGGAGCTTGGGCACAGACTCCACACAGACAGTAAGGATGGAAGCGAACCTGGGTCGCATGCTCTAACCACTGAGCTAACATGCCACCCCATGGAGCAAGTTTGGAAGGAAACTTGCGTTTAAACCAAAATAACATTTCATATTGAATGAATGCATCCCAGCCACCGTAGTGCCCACCAGTTGTGAACATCCTGGAGTGTACAGGTGACAATGTGTTTTCCCCCTGTAGGGTCATCCGGGTCTAGAAATCCCTTTGTAAACTCTTTTGAAATCAATAGAACACATTTAATCGAATTAACGAGGAAGAAAGGGCAGGGGAGTGGCGGGGGTGTGGTGCTGTGACAATAATCCAATATCTAAAGCAAATTTAATAAGTAAATTAAGATTTAATTGTGTGAGTGAAAATGCATACCCAACCACTGCAGCGAAAGTAAAATGCTTTCATTTAGTGCCAGGTAAATCATCTTGGCAGTGATATGTAACAGTGCAGTCAGGGAAATCAATGTTGCTGTGGCAACATTCACTCTTACATGTATAGAGTCACAGAGGTTTACAGCATGGAAACAGGTCCTTCAGCCCAACCTGCCCATGCTGCCCGGTTTTCGCAATTAACCTAATCCCATTTGCCTGCATTTGGCCCATATGTATCCAGTCCACGTACCTGGCCAAGTGTTTCTTAAATGACAAAATTGAACGCACTTCCATGCATGTTGCAGTCTGGAGCTATGGATGGTGATGGTAGAGGTTCCAATGTTTTGTTTTTCCATCGCAGGGCTGACCAGGAATCTCTCTCGTTCTTACTGCCCACCATCGGCATTTGTTTGAGCACATTATGAATCCACCCTGTCCAGTCATCAGGCCCTAGAGTGAGACTTGAGCACAGGGCTTCTAACTCAGAGGCAGGAGTCAGCCTGCTGCCTCACTGTAGTTCTTTTTATGTCTTTTCTAACCAACCTGTTCAGAGATATTATTACCCAGCTCTGGAACAGGTGGGACTTGAACCCTGACTCCGAGGTAGAGACGCTGCCACAAGAGCCCAAGCAGTTTCCTTTTATATGCGCTCAAAGTGCTTCATGGGTGAATATCTCTGCCCGTCTTACCCTTAGCTTCAACAATACAGTTGGTGAAACATTAACAGGAAGTAACACAAGGCTGTTGTGCGTACGCGCAACGTGTTGTATAGGGTGACATGTTGGAAGAGTGTCATTTTTACCACGACCGGTTCTGTTCGTCTGGCCCTCATTCTGGGATGTTGTGCTATTTCTAGATGCAGAGCCTGAAAGGAGAGAAGGGGGAGAAGGGAGAGCCTGCAGTCATTGAGCCTGTGAGTATGGAAACGTTGCTGTTCAGGTCCACGGTCCCTCCTTTGACCCTGGGCTGCAGTTTTTGTTACGCCCCTCATGTGTGGGTGGCAATGTTACCCCCTCCTGGCCTGGGCATTCTCTGGTAGGCGTCATCCCTCCCCATGTGTGGGCCTGAGAAATTAAGCATTAGTCACTTATTCAACCACATAACGCATCGCACCTCTGCTCGATCCTAGTCTCAGTGCATCCCTGCATGTGGATAGTTTCAGTAAGAGTTACTGGATTACCATCAGGGGGAGTGGAATTTGGCTGATTGCTTTCTCTTACACCTCCTTCTAGCCCTACTGGCGAGAGTCAGTTATCATCCAAGGAATCGTCATAAAACAAGGACTGAAATTGGTGTGTAGTGCCTTCACACAGGGTGATGAAAGAAAGCTCCTTTTCAGAGATCACTCCACTGCTTTCCTTCAAGTCTGTCCTGTTTAACTGGACCATGGCTGATCCCCTACCTGAACACCATTTTGTCACATTGTTCCCTGGTGTCTCCATCATGCGTATCATAGAATCCCTACAGTGTGGAACCAGGCCATTTGGCCCATTGAGTCCACACAGACCCTCCAGAGAATAACCTACTCAGACCCACAACCCACCCCATTCCTGCATTTCCTACCCTTAGGCACAACGGGGCAATTTAGCACGGCCAATCCACCTAACCTGCACATCTTTAGTCTGTGGGAGGAAACCCAAGCAGACATGGGAAGAATGTGCAAACTCCTGAGGCTGGAATTGAACCCAGGTCCCTGCCGCTGTGAGGCAGCAGTGCTAACCACTGAGCCACATGCCACCCCCAAACACACTCAGTGACCTAGCTACCTCTGGGGTAAAGAATTCCAAAGGTTCACCACCCTCTGAATGAAGAAATATCTCACCTCACCTCAGGCAAAAATGACCTGCCCTGATTCTGAGACTGTGTCCCCATGCCCTTCCTGCAGCTACTTTTACAGCCCTGTATGAACTATAGATGTTTCAATCAGATCTGCCCTCATAATTCTAAACTCCGCGGATACAGGCCCAGTCTCCTACATGTGCACGTGCGTGTGCACACACACAGACACACTCACAGACACAGACACACACACACACACTCACAGACACACACACTTACAGACACACACACAGACACAGGCACACACACAAGCACAGGCACATACACTCACAGTCACACACACACTCAGTCACACACGCAGATGCACACACACATACACGCATGCAGACACACTCACTCTCTGTCACACACACACACACAGACATATTCACAGGCACACACACACACACACACACACACACACACACACACACACACACACACACACACACACACACACACACACACGTACGTACGTATATACCGATTGACACTGCTCAAAACAACAGCAGTGAAGTCCTTAAACAAATGGAAGAGTTAAATTAAAATTTTACATTTTTGCTTTTGATTTCCAGGGAATGTTGCTTCCTGGACCTGCAGGACCTCAGGGGCCTCAGGTAAGTGTTTGTTTGTAAAAAAACAACCTTCTTTTTCTCTTCTCAAAACAAATCAGTGACTTGCCCCAGAGCAGTTCCTCTTGAAGACTGGCTCTGGATTGGGATCAGACTTCTCAGGTGCTGACATAAATTCCCCTCAATCTAGACTCGTAGACATTTACTGCACTGAAAGAGGCCATGTAGCCCATCATGTCAGCACTGGCTATCAAAGATCTGATTACACTAATCTCATTTTCCAGCTTTTGCACAACTATAGCAAGGCAAGTGAAAGTCTAAAGATGGCTTAAATGTTACAAGAGTTTCTGTCCCAACCAACACTCCAGGTAGTTAGTACCAGATTCCCATCATCCTCTGAATGAAAAGAATTCTCCTCAACTCTCCTTCTACTGCGTATCTTAAATCACTGGCCCCTGGTCATTCACCACTTTGCTAGTGGGAAAACAGCTCCTTCTGCACCCTGTCTATGCCCCTCACTATCTTATACACCTCCATCAGGTCCCCTCTCAATGTTCACTGTTAACCACAGACTCTCCAATCTCTCCTCCTAGCTCAGACCTTGCAGCTTTCAGGTCTAGGCTGCTATCGTTTTCCAGTTCATTTGACGAACTATGTTCATCATTAAGAAGGTCCACATGTGGTACAAAGCTCCAGCCCAATTTATAAGTGACAAATTGTTCTCCTTGCTTGGCTGTGGGAACAGCTTCTCCCTACCTGCTCTGCCCAGACGCCTCGTGACTTCGAAAACCACTGTCACATTTCTGTAGTGTTGTGGTTATCACGTCTGTCTAACACGCAAATGGTTCCCTGGTCCGAAACCGGGCAGAAACAGTGGCTCTTCCTCATTGTCTGGGCGAGGTGTGCTCTCCTGCTCTCTGTGAGAAGTGAATGGAATTTGTTATTAAATATGCAAAATTGGTGACTGTTGAAGCTTGTCACTGTAAAATGCAAGTGACAACAAATAAATCATTCACTCATTCATTCAACACCCCCTCTCAACCTTTTCCGTAAGGAAATCAGCCCCAGAGTCTCCAATGTGACTACACAACTGAGGTCTATATTTGTTTCCATGATGTAGTCCTCACTGGCTAGACCAATATTTATCAGCCACCTCTGTGTGTTGCTTTTACATCAGGTAGATGTTTAGTTTTTATTCCTCATAGAATGAGCGTCGCTGGCCGGGTCAACATTTATTGCCCATCCCTAGCTGCCCTTGAGAAGCTGATGGTGAGCTTAGAGCCATAGAGTCCTGGAGTATTGTGGCCTATTGCGTCTGTGCCAGTTACCAAACATCAGTCTCCTCTAGCCCTGTTTTCTAGCACTTTACCCAAACCCTTGTACGTTATGCATTTCAAGTGATCATCTAAATACTTCTTTGATCATTCTTGCATCGACCACCCTTTCAGGCAATGAGTTCAAGGTAACCCACCATCCTCTGGGTGAAAGATGCTTATCCTTAAATACCCTCTAACCTTTCTGCTCCTCTCCTTAAAACTGTTCCCCTTGGTTATTGACCCCTCTACTGAGAGGAAAGGTTTCTCCCTATCTAGAATTCCCACAGGGAAGAAGCAGGCCATTTGCCCCATCGAGTCCACACCGACCTCTCCAAAGAGCATGCACCCAGACCCATCCCCTTACCCTATCCCTATAACCTTGCATTTCCCATGGCTAACCCACCCAGCCTGCACATCCCTGGACACTCTGGGCAATTTAGCATGGCCAATCCACCTAACCTGCACATCTTTGGACTGTGGGAAGAAACCGGAGCATCCGGAGGAAACCCACGCAGACACAGGGAGAATGTGCAAACTCCACACAGACAGTTATCTGAGGGTGGAATTGAATTCGGGTCCCTGGCGCTGTGAGGCAGCAGTGCTAACCACTGAGCAATCCTTAAGCCACCATACCGCTCCTGTATGTGCCTCTCATAACTGTGTACATCTCAGTCAGGTCCCCCCTCAGCCTTCTCTGCTCTGAGGAGAACAATCCCAGCCTATCTTGTCCCTCTTTGGTTGGTGGAACAGGCTTGAGGATCTAAATGGCCTACTCCTGTTCAAATGATATTCTTAAATTCCTCTCTTCAGAGCTGAATGGCTCCAGACCAGGCATTTTAACATGGCCTGGAATATTCACAAAGACTTTCTCCACATCTTGGGGCTTGCTGCCTGTGAGATATCGATCTGTACAAATGTACCAGAGTCTGTACTCAAGCACTGACTTCTGAGTGGATGTTCAGTAATGAGATAAGAATCAAAGAAACGAGAGGAAAATTAAAAAGAAACTGCAGCCTGTTGTTTGCAGCAAACCCAACAAGCAACATTATTTTTGGCTTCACTCATGATGGGCCCTGCTGTTTGTTTGACTGTGACTGGGAAGAGGCATAGATTTCCCAGTGTCATCGGGAAAATATACTGCTCTGACTTTTGTAAAACGCCTAAGAAAATGGAAACCCTTCTGGATATTTCTCTTTCGCTTTTGCTTTGAAATGCGCCAGTTTTACCCAATGTGTTCACTCTCACTCCCGGGACGATAAGGACAGGGAGATCGTGCATTTATGTAATGCCTGTCACATCCTGCAGTGCTCACTGGGTACGTAGAACATTCAACATAGAACTATGCAGCGCAGGAATGGGCTCATGATGCTGTGCCAAGCATGACGCCAAATTAAACTAATCCCTTCTGCCTGCCCTTGGCCCATATCCCTCCACTCCTTGCATTTTCATGTACTTATCTGAACTCATCATACTCAAGAACCTTAGCTTATCTAAAAGTCCCTTAAATACCCCTGTTGTATCTGCCTCCACCACCATTCCTGGCAGTGCGCTCCAGACTCCTACCACTCTCTGTGTAAAAAACTTGCCCCTCACATCTCCTCTGAACTTTCCCCCTCTCACTTTAAATGCATGCCCCCTTGTATTAGACATTTCAACTCTGGGAAAAAGGTTCTGACGCCAATGCTATCTGTGCATCACATAATTTTATGAATTTCTATCAAGTCTCTCTTCAGCCTCCACTGCTCTGGAGAAAACAACCTGAGTTTTTCTAGCCTCTCGTTATAGGTCTATATACCCTCTAATCCAGGCAGCATCCTGGTGAACCTCTTCTGCACCCTCTCCAAAGCCTCCACATCCTTCCTGTAATATGATGACCTGAATTGAGTGCAACACTCTAAGTGAGGCCTGACCAAAGTCTTATAAATCTGTAACATGACATCCTGACTCTTGTACTCAATTACCAGACCAATAAAGACAAGCATGCCATACACCTTCTTTAGCACCCTATCTACTTGCGTGGCCACTCTCAGGGAGCTATGGATTTGAACCCCAAGATCCTTCTTTTCATCAATGCTGTTCTGAGTCCTGCCATTAACTGTATACTTTGCCTTAACATTTGATTTCCCAAAATGCAGCACCTCACATTCACCTGGATTAACTCCATCTGCCATTTCTCCAACCATATCTGCAACTAATCTATATCCCGCTGTATCCTTTAATAATCTTTTACACTATCCACAACTCCACCGATCTTTGTATCATTGTATCATCTGCAAAATTACTGACCCACCCATTTACATTTTGACATAAATATATATATATATATATATATATCACAAACAGCAGGGGTCACAGTATGGATCCTTGTGGAACACCACTAGCCATGGACCTCCAACCTGAAAACATCCTTTCACCACTACCTTCTGCCTTCTTTGGGCAGGTTAATTCTGAATCCACGTGACCAAGTCACCGTGGATCCCATGCATCCTAATCTTTTGGATGAGCCTACAATGAGGGATCTTGTTAAAAGCCTGACTGAAATCCTTGTAGACAACATCCACTGCTCTAGCCTCATCGATCACCTTAGTCACCTCTTCAAAAAATTCAATCAAGTTAGTAAGCCATGACATGCCCCGCACAAAGCCATGCTGATTGTCCCTAATTAGGGATTACTTTCTGAAGAAGGGTCCTGACCTGAAACATTTACTTACCTGCTCCTCTGATGCTGCCTGGCCTGCTATGTTCCTCCAGCTTCACACTGTGTCATCTCTGCCTCCAGCATCTGCAGTTCTTACTATCTCTGTCCCTAATTAGGCCATGCTTTTCCAAATGTGTGCAAATCCTATCCCTAAGAATTCTCTCCAATAGCTTCCCAACCACTGAAGGATATTTTCTGAAGGGTGAGCGGCGTTGCATTGTTGTAGGAAATGCAGCAAACAATTTTCACCCAATAAACACGAACAAATAGCAATAGCCATGTGAGCAGATGGAGTGACTGTGATTGAGGGATAAATATTGATAAGGACACAGGAGCGGACGTGTTATTGTGCAGTAGGATCCAGCAGGGATGTCTGAGAATAGGTGGGAGGAGAGAACAGTAGATGGTTCTTTGGTAATTGGGCGAAAACTTGATTGTGTGTTTGGAGAATGAATAGCTAGGGTTAGGTGCTGTGTTAATTGGAATAGAAATCTGACCAGAAAAGTATCTGGACTCTGACTAACCAACAATTTAGTCTCTGGTGTTTCGTCAAGCTCTTCCTTGAAATTGTGCTGTGGGGTCTTTTTCTTTTGCCTGAGAGCCTAGCAGGGGCAGGGATTCATTGTCCCACACACCTTCAACAGTGCAGCAACCCCTCAGTACAAGCCGGCCAGTACTTTGTCCCCGATACCCTTCAGTGGTTTTCTGAACTCTCAGCCTGAAGGCTCAGGGAATTGTTGTGCCACTGGGGACAGAGGAGATTGCCAGCCCTTGATCCATAGCTTTGGATCCTATCCCTGTGCCAAGGCTTGAGCTGGTAGTGTGGCCGGACAAGCACAGTGCTGGTGGAGTGCTGCATTGTTGATTGATCCATGGATCCAAGACCCTGTGCGGACTGCTCTGGTAAAACTTCTTGCATATTGTGATGAAAACAGCCAGCATTCTCCTGATCAGAAAGAGAAGTTGCTGGAAAAGCTTAGCAGGTCTGGCAGCATCTGTGAAGAAAAAAAATCACAGTTAACGTTTCGGGTCTGGGGTCACCGGACCCGAAACATTAACTCTGATTTTTTTTTCTGCCAGACCTGCTGAACTTTTCCAGCAACTTCTGTTTTTGTTCCTGATTTACAGCAACCGCAGTTCTTTCAGTTTTTATTTAGCATTCTCCTGATAGTTGGGCCAATATTGCTGTCACTCAACACCAGTAAAAGAAAACAAATTAACCGCTCATTCATTTCTTGTGAAAATTTTCGTGCGTAAACTAGCTGCTGTTTTGTTGCGATGGTAACAGCCAAGATCTCTCGTTTGGGAATTACTTTGGAACTATCTGAGTATATACCTGCTGTTCCAAAAATTTGCAAATACTTCTATCGGGTTGGAGCAAGTTGTAGGCAAGGCAAGTTTTATTGAGTTTGTTTCTTATTGAACAGCTGGCTGACTGTAATCTCTAATGATCATCCAGTTTGAAAGTTTAGTATGATTTGGTGTCACACTGAAGAGAAACATCCATATCTGAAAGCACTTAGCTGTCTGTGGGCCCATGCTATAGAAGACTAATGTTCTGGTCACTGTTATGAACTGGGGTGTGAAGAGAGGCTACAAGTTAGATATTGCAGTGTAGCTTGTTCAGATGGAGTCGGAATTGTCAGCTGCAATGTCTTTTGGTCCCTTTACATCACAAAGTTCTGTCCTCCCAGTCTGAGGTGTTGACAATGGCTTCTGAATATTGAATTACAGTCAGAGAGAGAGACTCAGTGTGAGGGAGCACAGGCCACTTTAAGAAGCATCTTTCCCTAGGCCTCTCTCAGGGTCACTGTCTCAGAGTTCCCATCGTGACCAAACATTCAGTTCACTGTGACTAATTTATTGTTGAGTTGTGATCGATACTGTGAAGGCCCATGCCTTAGTCACCCCTCTCTGAAAGGCCCAGTTAGAGGGTTCGAGCTCCATCATGAACTTGCAGCTGGTGAGTGTGCACTTACAAGCTTTGCCCCAATAGCACTGAAAGGTTGAGGGGAATTTGGGGTCCTCCAAACATAGGAACATGTTGAATAGGAGCAGTTGTAGGCCATTCAGCCCATCAGGCCTGCACCACCATTCATAGAAACATAGAAAATAGGACCAGGTGTGGGCCATTTTGCCCTTTGAGTCTGCTCCACCATTCAATGTGATTATGGTTGATCATTCAACCCTGTTCCTGCTCTCTCCCCATACCTTTTGATCCCTTTAGCCCTAAGAATTATATCTAACTCCTTCTTGAAAACATTCAATATTTTGGCCTCAACCACTTTCTGTGGCAGAGAATTCCACAGGTTCCCTGCCCTCTGGGTGAAGACATTTCTCCTCATCTCAGCCCTAAATGGCCTACACCTTATCCTTAGACTGTGACCCCCTGATTCTGGACTCTCTGGTCATTGGGAACATCCTTCCTGTGTTTTACCCTGTCTAGTTGCGTTAGAATTTTGTAGGTTCCTATACCATCTTGGACTGCAACTCCACTTTCTCAACCATTCCCCCATATGCCTCGATTTCCTGAGAGACCAACAAATTGTCTAGCCCCTCCTGAAAGGTATTCAGTGCTGAAGCTTAACATTCTGGGCTCGAGACTTCCTAAGATTCATGAGCCTTTGAAGTAATTCCTAGCCAGCTCAGTTCGAGATGCTTGGCACCTTAAACAATCTCTGTGTACACCCTTCCCAACTTCCTTCTGAGACTGGAATGTGACCTCTCTTTCATCGAAACTCCAGAGAACAGAGACAATTGCTCCCTCTAATTTCTTCTCTGGCAGTGTGTGTGGACCCTTGAGGTGTGTGTGCGGCAGCGACTTCTGGAACCATATCAATGAACTGCACACTGATTGGCACGCACATAACCTCGGAGCATTGAGAGAACACTGACACAGAGCCAGTTTACTCAGAGGCCCCTCATCAGCGGGTAACCCCATCATCCCTGTGACCAGCCTAGCCAACACTCCATCCCACACCTCCAAACCTAGTACATCCTTCCTTAAATATGGAAACCAAGATGGGTGAGGGGAATTCCAGACATAGTCTCACCCAATGCAGCTGGGTTTTGATGCCTTTCCTGTGACTTTGCTGCATGCTGTGTCTTTGCGATGGGCCGGAGGTGATCATAAAGGGGATCTTGACATGTGCGCGTGCACACACACACACAATCACGTGCGCACACAGATACACAATACCGCTCACAGACACACACACACACACGTGCACGATTGAGCAGACACACACATACTCACACAGACACAACACACACACACACACACACACACACACAATCATGTGCGCACACAGATACACAATACCGCTCACAGACACACACATGTGCACGATTGAACAGACACACACATACTCACACACACACACCCACACACACACACACACACACGTGCACAGTGTAACTGGGATCAGATCAATCCATTTCTTTTTGGAAGGTGAAGGACAGTCCTTTCAGTTACCCTGCTCCTGTCCCCTGGGGGAAGAAGGACACAGTTGAAATTTTTGCCCCTCGGAACCCCCTCCTTGCCTCTGCTCGACATTTTCTTTGAAACCAAAAGGGAATATGAAATCTACTAAACATTAAGTTTGTCTGGAGAATGCGCATTGCTAGCTCCAGCTGTGATCATTTGATGTCCAAATGCCTTGACCTCTCTTCTAACTCTTTCCGACAGGGTCTCCCAGGAAGCCCAGGATCGACGGGTGTGCGTGGACAACCCGGTGACCCAGGGCAGCCGGTAAGTGTCGGCGTTCGATCATCACCGTCGCACCCCACGGAGCTGAAAGCTGGATGGCGTGCATAGCCACTCAGGCAGTGTACCCCGATTATGTTTAACCTTCTCTGGAGGCAACTCAGGTTATGGTTTTAGGGCCTCATGTGGGATCCTGGGCGGAGGATCTGTGGCATTATTTTGGCCAAGTATTGCTGAATTTGCGCGAATACAGCGAGGAGCATTGAAGGCTGTTCCTCGACAGAGTCTCCAGGCTGTGAGCGTTCCCGACCCTTTGTTCAGGGCTGCCCATGGGGAATGCAGGAACATCCATGTGTTCTGACAGTCAGTGCTTTCCATGCGATGTTTCCGCTCCCTTGCACAGTAAACACTACAACCTTCTGGACCGGTCTCTCCTGCTATTGTTCTTCCAGCGATGAGAGGAGAGGCCATTGAAATGAGATGAATCTGAGCCAACAGATGATTTGAAACACATACAGTGCAGCACAAAATGCCACGTATTACAACAACAAAGGAAATGAGCCACACGTTGAAGAGGGGGAGGAAGGTTTTCGAGGTCATTAGTTCAGGCCCATGGGGTCCTTTAAAGACATTATGACCACGAACTGAAGAGATCTGGATACCCACCAATGAGAACATTGATATATCTAAGAAGTTTCACACTAGACAATTGCCAGGCAATTGATTTTTTTTTACAAATCCTCACTGTTGTTTTTGTCTGATTTGTGTTTCTTTCTCTTTCTCTTCCGTTCTCTCCATGTCACTTGTCTCATCCACTTTTGTCTCATCTCATCCGCCCCCCTGTTTCAATGCCCTTCTCAGTTCCCCCTCATTGTTTCTTGTCTGGTTCTTTGTCTCTTGTTTCTTCATTCCGTCATTCTCTTTTCTCATTTACCCCCCTCCCATTCTTGGGAGACAACCCCCTTCACATCTTCCCCCATCCATCTCCCCCTTAAGGAACCCAGTCCTATCCTGAGCCATCCTTTGTTCAGAGCCTGGGTGCCAATGGAAGGGATGGTAGCTGAAGAGAGCCTTTCGTCTTTGAAAGACCCCATACCCACAACGAGCAGGGCAAATGTGATGTATAAAATACCATGCAGCAACTTCGAGAAACTCTACATAGGACAGACAGGTAGGAAACTCGCCACCAGGATACATGAAAGCCAACTTGCAGCAAAACAACATGACCAACTCTCCCTCGTTTCAATACACTCCGAGATAGAAGAACATCAGTTTAACTAGAACAAAGTCACAGCACTAGGACAAGTGAGACAAAGACAAGCATGAGAAATCCTGGAGGCCTGGTTTTTAACCACTGACGCAATTAACAAACATATTGTAATAGACCCCATCTACGTACCACTATGGTACAAGACTGGAAACAAGACTGTCCACGACAACAGAATGGACCATATAAATTCAGAGCTAACAGAACAACAGAGCTTCAATGGAGGCTACACAGCACTGACAATGTCACCCAGAATGGAGACGAAGCGCTTGCATGAAAACCAGTCAGCTCGGCGAACCTACCGGCCACTCCATCCGCAATCCGAGCTACAAATAATCAGAAAACATCACACAGTCTCCTGTGTGTATTTGACATATAGTCAGCAAGTCAGCCTCTGTGAGTTGACCAACTAGAGGCCAGCTGTACCACTACCCCTCCAGTCCTGTCTTGTACGTGTCGTGTGTTGTTGATGCACAGACCATCTCATTGACAGCAGTATAAAGAAGCAGATGTTTGCCAGGAGGTTGGGGGGTGCGGGGGAGTGGGGTGTGATACCAGTTCCTGTACTGAAGCACCAGTCAACGCAGTGCTCTGTGAAAGCCCCCCCGAAGCTATCAGCTTTTATTTTATTTTGCCGACTCATTCTTTAGAGTTTATTTCGATGTAAATATCTGTTGGCCAGTTATATTTACGTCAAAGCTGATGCTTTCTCCTTAAATTTATGCACTTGATGAGCTTCAGACAAGTGTTACGCCAAAGGCATTACTAAATGTAGACATGCTATGAAACTACACAGTGCTCGAGAGCTGATGTGCAGAGTTCAGTAACACTATCTGTCTTTGTACTTTCCTGACACTGGGTGACATGTACAAACATAAAGAAATTGCAGCTTTTGCAAAAAAGAAAGTAGAGAGTAGGAGTAGGATTAGGCCATCTGGCCCTTCGAGTCTGCTTTGCTGTTCAATATCATCATGGTTGATCATCCAACTTAATAACTTGTTCCAGCTTCTCCCCTGTGTTGCTGTGATCCTGTAATGATTGGAACCAGGTGGATCTCATTGACTATGAGATCGTTGATTGGTTTGTTAACCTGGGCCAACCAGGGAGCCCTGACTGACAGGTGTAAACAGGAGATTCAGAGAGTCTCCTCTATCTAGGGACTGGCATGAGCTGGCTGGCCAGGGCCCATGTACAGTGCACATGTAAATGAAGGGTGACTTGGTGATGGGATATTGGCTTCTGTGCAGTTATTTCAGATCCCTTTAGCCCCTAGTGCTATACCCAACTCCTTCTTGAAATTATATCATGTTTTGGCCTCAAATGCTTTCTGTAGTTCAATACACAAGTTTCCCCCATTCTTCCCTTCAGCTCATCCTTCTGTCCCCTTCCCCATCTTGCATTTATTGAATTTCTCTTTAAGTACATCTCATGTGGAAGCCTTCTGTCTGGTCAGATCGTGGTTTGCACAGTGTTGGCCAATTCTATGTTATGCATTACCTGATGGGGCTCAGTAGTTCTGCTCTGACCAGGCACTTTGTACCGCATTTGTTGCAGTGAAAAAGAAAAGAGCGGCACTGTGGCTCAGTGGTTAGCACTGCTGCCTCACAGCACCAGGGACCTGGGTTTGATTCCAGCCTCGGGTGACTGTGTGGAGTTTGCACATTCTCCCCCGTGTCTGCGTGGGTTTCCTCTGGGTGCTCTGGTTTCCTCCCACAGTCCAAAGATGTGCACGCTAGGTAGATTGCCCATGCTAAATTGCCCATAGTGTTCAGGGATGTGTAGATTAGGTGGGTTATGGGGGATGGGTCTGGGTGGGATGCTCTGAGGGTCAGTGTAGACTTGTTGGGCCTAAGGGTCTGTTTCCACACTGTAAGGATTCTACGAAGGACATCGACTGAGAAGGTGCATGATCATCTGACCTCTGTTTTTGCTGGTGTTCTCTTCTAAGCCAGCTGAGCTTTCTATTTCTGCTCACCTCTTCAGATTCCCTTCGAAATTGTCAAGGTCCAGAGGTCATAGCAATCAACAACTACCCCCCTCCCCACCTCAATTGTATCTGCCATCAGCCTGTCTCACATGTAGGTGCCCCTATAAATGCATCGAGACTGTTTGCATCTACACTCCCTGTGTTCGCAGGTTCCACAATCTCCCACCTTCTGGCTGGAGATAATGCGTTCCTGAATTCCCTATTGGATTCGTTCGCAATTATCTTAGATTGGTGTCACCCTAGATTTGGATCAATGACTTCAGTGGGCATAACGGGTTAAAAAATCCTTGGGTGACAATTGAGAAACGCCAGCCTGGTCTCCACTCATGTAATTCCAGTTGGCACCATGTTGCCCTGTTTATGAATAACTCCCAGATCTGATCAGCTGTTGCAGATATCCGTCTCTCACCTTCACACAGACTGGGATCTTTTTGGAGGTTGATTGAACTAACGTTTGCTTCCCACCTGCTCAGCCCTGTCCCTCCAGATGTTCATCAGTTTTTCTTTCCACATTGGCTTTAATTAACTCATTCACAGGGCGTGGGTGTTACTGGTTATCCCAGCATTTGTTGCCCGTCCCTAATTGCTCTTGAGGAAGTCGTGGCGAGCCATCTTCTTGAGACCAATGTAGTCCATGCGGTGTAGGGAGAGAATTCCAGGACTTTGGCCCAGCATCACTGAAGGAATAGTGATATATTTCCAAGTCAGGATGGTGAGTGACTTGGAAGGGAACTTGCAGGGGGTGGTGCTCCTATGGAGCTGGCCTTGTCCTCCTAGAAGGTAGAAAGGGGTGAATTTAGAAGGTGCTGTAGACAGTCCCTCAGTAGGTGAGTTACTCCATTCCATCTTGTAGATGGGTATAAGATGACACCAGGTCACAGTCCAACAGGTTTATTTGGAATCACAGGGGCTGTGTTCTGAAAACTTGTGTGTGATTCCAATAAACCTGTTGGACTATAACCTGGTGTCATGTGACTTCAGACTTCATCCGCCCCAGTCCAACACTGGCATCTTCACACCTTGTAGGTGATACAAACTGCTGATACTCTGCAGCAGAGAGGTGAGTGAATGTTGAAGGTAGTTAATGCATCGCCAATGAAATGGTCTCCCTTCTCCTGGATGTGTTGAGCTCCTTGATTGTTGAAGCTGAACCCCACCAGGCTTTGGAGAATGCCAACGGTGTGGAAAATCCTTTGGCTCATTATCAATGCGGTGTTTCCTGTGTCCTTCCAATGGTAACATTTCCCTGCAGTCTGCCTCCTCTGCACTGACACTTCCCCCGAGAGCTCAACGTTTGCAGGCTTCATTTATCCTTTTCTGTAATCCAGTCTTGGACTGAGTTGTGTCCAGTCACGCAGATCAGGAGGTAAAAGGTGGTCTTTCAAGGACAGGTTGCACAGGAACCAGATCACAAGCCTCTTCCTGGCTGAGATAACAAGGTGTGGAGCTGGATGAACACAGCAGGCCAGGCAGCATCTGAGGAGCAGGAAAGCTAACGTTTCAGGTCAGGACCCTTCTTCAGAAATGGGGGAGGGGAAGGGGATTCTGAAATAAATAGAGAGAGAGGGGGAGGCGGATGGAAGATGGATAGAGGAGCAGATAGGTGGAGAGGAGACGAACAGGTCAAAGAGGTGGGGATGGAGCCAGTAAAGGTGCGTGTAGTTGGGGAGTTAGGGAGGGGATTGGTAAGTCCAGGGAAGATGGACAGGTCAAGGAAACGGGGATGAGGCTGGTAGGTAGGAGTTGGGGGTGGGGGTTGAGGTGGAAGGAGGGCTTAGGTGGGAGAAAAGATGGACAGGTTAGGGAGGGGGGGACAAGCTGGGCTGGTTTTGGGATGCGGTCAGGAGAGGGGAGATTTTGAAGCTTGTGAAGTCCACATTGATACCATTGGGCTGCAGGGTTCCCAAGCAAAATATGAGGTGCTGTTCCTGCAACCTTCAGGTGGCATCGTTGTGGCACTGGAGGAGGCCCAGGATGGACATGTCGTCCAAGGAGTGGGATGGGGAGTTGAAGTGGTTCGCGACTGGGAGGTGCAGTCCATCTTCCGTCTGCCCCCTCTCTCTATTTATTTCAGAATCCCCTCCCCCATTTCTGAAGAAGGATCTAGACCCAAAATGTCAGCTTTCCTGCTTTTCTGATGCTGCTGGGCCTGCCGTGTTCATCCAGCTCTACACCTTGTTATCTCAGATTCTCCAGCATCGGCAGTTCCTACTACCTCTTCCTGGAGGCATCAGGAATAGTGGGGGGGTTGGAATGGGTTGGAGAGGTAAGCAGGCAACACAGACAGGGCTAATGCATATAAATCAAATAAAAAGCCGCTAATTGTCAGATGTGTCAACCCTTCCCGACACACCCTACCACGCCAATGACCCTTAGTTGTTGGCTGGCAAAATCTTTGTTTTTTCCAGTCCTTAAAAATTCTCACGTGTTTGGCAGATTCCAGATCACATGCTGCTTCCCTCCAGGGCTCTGTTTTTGTTTTAGTTGAAAAAGGACATTTTGGCTTCAGTAACTATCTGTAGCAGGCACACATACGCTGCCTAACTGTAGCCCCAGTCCTTATCTGCGTGTTTTTTTTTGTTGGGTTTGCAAGTTTCAGGCGCAGCAACTTTTTTTGATGGGGTGGGGTGTGGGAATGGTTCTCTCAGTCGGAAAAGCCAGGGGCCCCTCGTGAAATCCTATCCTGCCTGAGTTTGTAAGTGTCAAGGATTGAGAGAGAGATGGGGCAGATAAGTTACATGAGGGTTGCCTCATGTCTTCATGGAGAAAAACATGGAAAATTGCTTTGGCAGTCGATGGAAGAGGATTTGCTCTTGTACACTACTGGTGGTCGTCCCTGGATTGGGGACATGTGGTTTGCATTGTTCTGATCCCTGGGCTATTTCAGAGAGAGGAAGAAAAATGTATTTTTCTCCAGTATGTTTGATAGAAACTATGCTCTAGTTTTGCTATGTTACATGATACCATTACAGTGAAACAGATTGAGAATCTCTGTGCAGGTACAGCGATAAGGTGCACGGTTTAGCTTCTGTTCCAAGGAGATGTCTGCATACCTTTTCACCCTTACTGCGTTTACTTTGAACCCCACAAGTATACTCATTCAGTCCTGAGAGATTCTCTGGGCTCCTGTCCCTGGGGTATTTACACACAGCCCCCTCAGTATCTGACCCTGGGGTATTTACACACTGCCCCCTCAGTGTCTGTCCCCGGGGTATTTACACACTGCCCCATCAGTGTCTGTCCCTGGGGTATTTACACACTGCCCCCTCAGTGTCTGTCCCCGGGGTATTTACACTCTGCCCCATCAGTGTCTGTCCCTGGGGTATTTACACACTGCCCCATCAGCGTCTGACCCTGGGGTATTTACACACTGCCCCGTCAGCATCTGTCCCTGGGGTATTTACACACTGCCTCATCAGCGTCTGACCCTGGGGTATTTACACACTGCCCCCTCAGTGTCTGTCCCCAGGGTATTTACACACTGCCCCATCAGTGTCTGCCCCTGGGGTATTTACACACTGCCCCATCAGTGTCTGTCCCTGGGGTATTTACACACTGCCCCATGAGTGTCTGTCCCTGGGGTATTTACATAAAGTCCCTCAGTGTCTGTCTCTGGGGCATTTACACACTGCCCCCTCAGTGTCTGTCCCTGGGGTATTTACACACTGCCCCATGAGTGTCTGTCCCTGGGGTATTTACACACTGCCCCATGAGTGTCTGTCCCTGGGGCATTTACACACTGCCCCATGAGTGTCTGTCCCTGGGGTATTTACACACTGCCCCATCACTGTCTGTCCCTGGGGTATTTACACACTGCACCCTCAGTGTCTGTCCCTGGGGTATTTACACACCGCCCCATGAGTGTCTGTCCCTGGGGTATTTACACACTGCCCCATGAGTGTCTGTCCCTGGGGTATTTACACACTGCCGCCTCAGTGTCTGACCCTGGGGTATTTACACACTGCCCCATGAGTGTCTGTCCCTGGGGTATTTACACACTGCCCCATGAGTGTCTGTCCCTGGGGTATTTACACACTGCCCCATCAGCATCTGTCCTTGGGGTATTTACACACTGCCCCCTCAGTGTCTGACCCTGGGGTATTTACACACTGCCCCCTCAGCGTCTGACCCTGGGATATTTACACACTGCCCCATCAGCATCTGTCCTTGGGGTATTTACACA